TGGGTTTGGCTGGGTTTGGCTGGGTTTGGCTGGGTTTGGCAGGGTTTGGTTGGGTTTGGTTGGGTTTGGCTGGGTTTGGTTGGGTTTGGCTGGGTTTGGCTGAGTTTGGTGGGTTGGGCTGGGTTTGGCTGAGTTTGGTGGGTTGGGCTGGGTTTGCTGGGTTGGGCTGGGTTTGCTGGGTTTGGCTGGGTTTGCTGGGTTAGGCTGGGTTTGCTGGGTTGGGCTGGGTTTGGTAAGGGGTGCAGCTGGGAGCTCAAGAACAGATTGATTTGATACTCCGAAAAAAATGGGCTTTTTTACTTGTGTAACTTTTGCTACTCCTCTACAATATACATATCTTTGTTGTTGTTGTAAAAATGAAGATTTATTAATAACTGTAAAGAATTTTTACAAAATAAATTACCTATTATTCCACCACCCTAATTTTACTACTTGCATTTTTAGTTGGTTCCTTCCACTTCTTGTGACATGCATTTTACACTGTTGCATCTGGCATATACAAAGGCCAAAATAGTGATAAAACACTCCAGTCACTCAAAACTGTGGGGGCATATAAACTCCTAGGGGAGTTATATGCCTGTTGTTTTTTGGAAGCTCTAAATTCCACATGCACCTGTGCATGCTGCTCGCAAATGCTTACCAGATTCAGTGGCACCCATTTGCCTGTTTAGCTTTTCTTGGATTCTTGGCTTTCCATATTTCCACAAAGAGTAGTGTTGAGTTCTTTGTCAAGTCTAATTTTAAGAGCATTTGAAGTGACAAAAGTAAAATCTGCAGGGATTTAAAGCAGTGGTTTTCAACTGGTGTTCTCTGGAGCACCAGAGTTCTGAGATTATGCCTCAGGACATCCCACGCCCCAATGCTTAGCAGAGGAGCATCTCTTTCTCTCTCCTACAACCAGAGTACTCTGATCTGCTCAATCTTGTGTTTTGGACATTTTCTTAACATTTTTTTATAGAGGTCGCTGTGGCTGAAGAGAGCATTTAAAAATCTTAAACTTTGGGGCTGGCCCGGTGGTGCCCCAAAGTGTGCCCGTTCCGCTTTGGTGGCCAGGTTCGCAGGTTCGCATCCCGGGCACGCACTGACGCACTGCTTGTCAAGCCATGCTGTGGTGGTGTCCCCTATAAAGTAGAGGAAGATGGGCACAGATGTTAGCCCAGGGCCAATCATCCTCAGCAAAAAGAGGAGGATTAGCATCAGATGTTAGCTCAGGGCTGATCTACCTCACAAAAAAAATTCTTAAACTTTGATGATGGTTTATGGTACCAAAACTCCATTTGTAGATATAATTTTTTTAAGAAGAGGAAATGTGGACTGAGTTCCCATATCTGGTCACTCAGTACTAGGGCTAGAGCAATAGTATTTAAGGAAAATATAAAACTATAAATTGATAAAAATATATAAAATCCTGTTTATTTCCCCATCGATCCCAAGGAGAAGATTAATGTTATTGCACTGAAACTCTGAGAAGATAAATAAGTAGGCTGAAGTCACACAGGGAATGATTAGGGAACTCAGATCCCTCTGGCTTTCCTCCCCCTCTGCTTTGCTTCCCTTAAGTGCTCATCACGAGCAGCTTCCTAGAAGAGCTACAGCCATCATTCTGTTCCTGACCAGAGAGGGACATCTTTATCATCTACAAACTAAGATGTCTCACGGAAAAAAAATAATTTTGGCTTCTTGATTCTGCAAATCCTATTTCCTAAAGATGATTTTCAAGAAAGGATTATGATGGACCGGAAAGGTAGGGAAGGGAAGTGCCGTGGTCATAATTTTTCCTTGAGTCTGTAGACGTTAGCTCAATACGGTAACAGTACGTTGAGTACGGTTATAAGCATCTGTGTAAACCAGGCAACATCAAAGAGACAGAGCTAAACAAGGGCAGTAATTGCCTATTGAAGTCTAGTGTGGAAGACAACACAGGCACACAGCTTAAGACAAAATAAAATAAGGGGCTTAAGAAAGGCACAGTGTGGCTTGGGAGTAAAGTGGGAAAAAGAGTGTATATCTCGTTTCTGTAAATGGAAGGCTATAGAAGGAATTGGAGAGTCTTCTTGCAAGAGGTGGCATTTAGAATGGGCTTTGGAGAATGAGTGGTTTTTCTACAGGCGTTGACGGGAAGAGGAGTTTTCCAACAGATGGAAACTTCGGGATAGGAAAAGGAAAGGCGTGTTTAAAGAACAGCTAGAGGCCTAATTTAGACAGAGCACCAAATGCTTGTTGAAAAGAAATAGAAGCCTGGCTTGGGTTAAACCACAGCAGGTATGGAAGCTCAGAGGTCCATAATTGGAGCTCATCTCCAAAGAGAGTAGCTGAAATCTCTGAGGGAAAAGTAGAGAGCAGAAAAGAGCTGAGCAGATGGGAACTTCAGGTGTGCTTATGCTTAAGGGGAGATTGAGTAGTTAGAGGATCCAGGAAAGAGGCTAAATTGAAGAGAAAGGAGGACATTTTGCTAAACTGAGATTCCCGAAGGCAGGGCCGGGGCACCACTTCGTTTTGTGACCCAGCACTTAGCCCTGTGTTGAGCACAGAGCATTGGGCACCGAATGAGCCTTAGTAACAGATGCTAGCTGTGTGAAGGAGCAGAATAGAACAAGCTAGATCCAGGCAGTCAGGAAAGCACAGAAATTCAAGAAGGAGGGAGTGTAAATGGAATCAAATGCCGCAGAGTAGTCAACAAGGATAAAGCTTGAAAAGGGGATGACGAATTGGGCAGTGAGCCGCCCAACCACTGGTAGCCACTGGGAGAACAGATTCAGGATTTATTACTTTGAGTACAGAGGCTGGATGGCAAAGAGTTAAGGAGTAAGCAGTGGAGGGAGGAAAGAAGGCTGAACAGCATGTGGCAACAGCTTAAATGAATTTGGCACCTCTACTTTGAGTGCCGAATATTCTTTTTGAAGTCAGTGATGGAATATAATTGAATTGGGTCAAATAGATATAATTAAGCTGGGTCAAAATATAATACAAAATTAGACACATCTGTCCTTAGGTTTTCCAGTTGTATAGATCTGATGTAAATTCTTGTTTGACCTTTGCAGTGAGTTCTACACTTTATGCTCACATTTCTCCAAACCGGTTAACATCTTTTTCATTACTGCTTTTTCATCCTTACTGCTTTTTTCTTTTTCTCTCTCCACTTCCTTGTCTTGTCTCTATTTCCTCTTTGAAGGCTGGGAGAATGGGCAGGGGAATAAAATGCAGCCTAATTTTTCATGAGTGATGGTTTTAGGGACAGTGTATTGGGAGATGTGTGCTGAAGGTCTGCTGATGATTGTCCAGTCAGATCCACCCATTATGGTAACAAAACTGGGCAGCAGCCA